GATGGTGACTAATTGATCCTCATTTTCTGTTATTCATGTACTGGAGCTAAAATTCATCCTTCACAAAGTGGATATCAGTTTATTATTTTTATTTTAATTAGATTATGGAGCCATGTGATTGATGGCTTTATGTGGCATCTACTACTCAGAAAAAAAATGAACAATTGATAAATAAGAACCAAAAGCTTGAATGAGACAATGGAAACTACCACAGGGTCTATCTGCATATTCCTTTGCACTTTTAATAGCATTGTTGATTAACTAAAATTATCAATTTGATAAGTTTCTTTATTGAATTGATTTGATCAAATTGGTCCACTGTTTAGAACTTGAACTTGTATATATTTATTATAATTGCATTTTTTGAGGGGGTACAGTTTTTTCTCTAGATCAAAATTGTGACTTTCCATACCTCCTAGAAATGTCTTGCCTCATAGATCATCTATGTAGTGGGTCAGACCTACCTTGGGGAATTTGTAACACTAATTCTGAATTCTGGCACCTTTTTTTCAGGGAAACACACCTAGCAATAAATGTTTTCTGGAAAGACTGTCAAATTCAGTCCTGTAAGGCAGACATAATGCGCTCTCTCCCCCAGAGCAGCTTCATATAAACAAAAGTATCATCAAGAACAAGTGTCCATCTATTAGCCAAACATCACATTTCAGCTAGCATTATCTCTACCCATCAGTTTTCACAATCAATTCAGTCTAAATGTCATTCATAGCAGTGAACGATTAGGCTAAATAATATGTAAGTAAGCACCGTTGCTTCAGAAAATATTTATTTTTCTCTTTTTTGGATGTATAGCCAAATAGACTATTTCTGTTTAGAAACAGCTTCAATTGAAGTTTTAGAGCAAATCGAGGATTTCTTTGTGGGCATCACATTTATAATGGGCGTCCTTTCTACAGTTGGATTGTAGGTGTGTTCATAGGAATGTATCAGTCTTCAGGGGAGCCATTTAGCATGAGGAAAAAGTCAAAGAGTGCTGTTGTTATCAGAAATATAATATTTCAGACTAAGTTTATGTATCTGCTTATTGTATCTTTTTACCACACTGATACCCAATTGTGCTATATTTTAAAAAGTGATAGCAAGTGAATGTGCAGCAAATTTCACCATTAAGGGGGGAAGGGAAATACTCCCTATAAGTGAGAAAAAAATAGTGAACTACATCTACCTTCTAACCTACTAAATGATCTCTTTCTAATAATCCTGTAGATTAAATAAATTGGTCTGTTTCTCTAAAAATTGTTTTTCAACTACAGTTGATATACAACATTATTAGTTCAGATATACAACATAGTGATTGGACATTTATATACTTATGAAGTGATCACCCCAATAAATCTAGTATACCCATCTGACTGGTCTAACTTCTTACTCTACATTAAGAACATCCTTTCGGCCCCATCCTGATTACATTTTTCTAGCCTATGACATATTGGTGTTTATCCACTGAATATAATGAATTAAGTTTCAGTGCCTTTATTTCTTGAATTCTGCCCTGGTCATTTTTTCCTTACAGGTAGAGGGACCTCAGTATTTTTACTAGACATTCTGGGCAAGAACAGATGCCATGTGAATGTTCAGACCACTCTGAATTTGGGGAGGTCAGCATGGCATTTTGGCCTCTGAATGGTTAAATGGATAGTTATGTAAAGCTAATGTTTTTGCTTGATCACTATTCTGTCTCTTTCAGCAGGTAGTCTCTTCTCTGAAAAAGGTTATAGGCCTCAGCAAAGAGTATACTAAAGAATAGAACTGATTGATGTGATATATTTGAGTTTCTTTCTACCACTCTCAACAGCATGCCATAGACAGTTCTAAACACAATGAATTAAATTTAAATTACACAGCTTTGGCTAGGAAATTGTTAACTCAGCCTCCAAAATAAAATTTAATTTTTTTCCCGACATTTGAGCCACTTCCTCATTTTTCATACAATGATGATTGCTGCAATGCCTCTATCGACTTAAAAACTTTTATTCACAATACTGTTACTTTTTTTTAAAAGACCGTGCCAGGTTTTAATTTTTGATGAAAAACAAGAATGCATATTCATCATACCAGGAAAAGTACATTAAAATCTAAATTATCGTTTTACAATAAGGTCATATTTGCACAGCTTGTTTTCTACTTGAAAGGGCTATAGAAGGTACTATTTAATGGATGACATGTTTTGTTATTTTAGGTACTATATTTTGTGAAAGATAACACCGAGAACATTCTAACACTTTCTGTTTGCTATTAAATTGTCCCAAAGGCTGTTAAATGTAGAAAATAGGTCAACTTTTAAAACAGAATTTAACTTGTGTAGCTAAATAATTTAGTCTGCCTCAAACACTATCCATGGAGTCACACATTCTCAGTCCATGAATTTCTTTTAAGAAGCAGCCTTTATTATGCATACTTGATGTTTGACTTCTAATTCTGAATTTGAACCTGGACAGTAAAAGAGGGAAGCTTAGCTCCACAAAGTACCAATATAGCCGCTATATTTTAATTACATGTTAATATGAGATCTTACATGTATGATTCACACATACAACTTCCAGTTTAATATCTAAACTTATATTATTTATAAATACAGCACAAAAATCTATTTGGTTCTACATTTGTGAAATATAGCAATATTGATAATATTGCCATTTTTTATGAAAATTACAATGTGGTCCTATTTTAGGTCTTTGTGTACTAATTTAATTCTTACAACATTAGGAACTATTATGTTGTCCAGTTTTTCAGGTGAGAACAACAAAATGCAGGATAGTCTATAAACTTCTAAATCAGAGTTTCCCAGCTTCTGCACTATTGGCATTTTGGGAGGACTGTCACATGCCTTTTAGGATATTCAGCAGCATTCCTGGTTTCTACCTCTGAGATGCCAATGACAGCTGACACCCTCCACCCCAGTTGTGTCAATATGTAATGTCTCCAGACATTGCCAAATGTCCCACAGGCGGTGGAGGGGAAAGGGGCAACATCACTGCTGGGGTGAGAAGCAGGAGATTAAAGAATTTACTCACATCCTCCTATCAAGAACAAAACAACAACTGCAACCCTACTGTGAGTGCATTAATGTAGTTAGCGTTCCTCAAGGAACATGAGAAATATTCTTGTAACCCTGAAATTAATTTTAAAGTGTATCCACTGTGGTTTAGAAAAAGTATCTTTGTATTTGAAATTAGCTCCATAAAAAGCAAGTGATCTGCTCCGGGGCAAATGGGAACAATTGGCCCTCAAGACCTCATAATCCAATAACTTGTTATTAAGCCAGTTTGGATGTTAGCCTGCTGGACGTGCTTGTGCCAAAAAGAGGATTTTTTTTTTCCCTTTAAAGCTCGCTTTAATGAAAGATACCTATGTAACGGTCACACCAATTGCTGGTAGTTATCACTAACATGAACAGTTACAATTCAAAACTGATATTTTGAACTTCGTCTTTTAAAATAACAGCGGCAAAATGAATGAATCCAGTCTCCTAATTGTCTCAAAAGAATTGAGAGCAGAATAATATGAAGCCATCTCACGATGCTATTTAAATGCTTGCATTTAATTAAAGTTATATTAAAGAAGAATTAGCATCTGAACAAATTCTTTATTCTTAAAGCTCCTGCACTTAAAAGATTTTTAAGCCTAATATTTTGTCACAGAAGTGCATTATCCCTTGTCTCCATTTTTCAAAATGGCACAATTTTCTTGACATTTATTTATGCTTTAATCTTGGACTGTATTAGTTACTGCTTTAATGAAAGCAAGTCATATTGCATTTTGGCTTTTTAAAAAATTGTAAAATTGATATTTTTTAATTTTTAATAAGTTGTAACTGATATAACATATTAGTTACAGGTATACAACATAATGAGCACCACAATAAGTCCAGTTAACATGCTTCACTACACATAGCTACAGCCTAGGTTAATTCCACTTTTAAATAAGGATTTCATTAATGTTGCAGTTCTGAGTATTGTCTAAACAATGATCATCTCCTTAATCCTTAGCCGATGTAATGAGATATTTTTCTTCTTGTACCTTGCATTCTCTCTGTGCTGCCATCAGCCAGATCTGATGCAAACCTCACAATCTCTATGCAGTAACTGTGCTCAGTTTACTGCTGCTTGTAAGTGGCAGTAAAGAGCAACCTTCAGTGCTTGTAAATGAGTTGATTATGTGACTAACTGCTAGGATTTACACACTCTGCTTTTTATTACAGTGAGTGTTGTCTTTTTTGCTGTAAGTGCAATGAAGCAACAAGAATGTCACAAAGACAATCGACACCTCTTTCCTACTTACTGTAAAATACCACCCCCTCAACCCAAATATGATTTTCACTTATGACACCTTAATGATAAAAAGACAATGGGGATGTGATACCTGCTACCAAATTGTAACAAAAACAAAAATTCAGTATAAAATCTAAACACAAATTTTTTAAATACCTTAAGTAGATTATATTTGCTTCCTTTTTCACATCAGTGAAATATATCCTGTTTCCTAGTAAGGACAATCTCTAGCTCAAAGATTCATCAAACTCTACCTGGTCATGAATGTAAAAGGTTATAGCTATTCTGCTTTTAGGAAGCCAAGTACAAGTATAGCATCAAACCTACTGATGCATACATTGTGGCACTCCAGGGCTGCCATAAACTCCAAATCATCTGTTTCTCTCAGGCTGCTTTAAACCTGTATGCTACTGTGTGCAGCTTCTCCGTGCTGTTGAATGGGTGGATGTCTACAGCTGGCTACCACCCTTTCCATGTCTTCCTGTAAAATAAGCTATAACTGTGTTTTCACACGCAACTTCCTTGAGAGATCTAGACTAAGTTGAAAAAAAAATGTAAGCTCTATGTCTTTGGGAAGGGAAATAGGTACTGAATTTGGTTTCTCAATGTATTCAGGTAAACACACACGTATTTCACTTGTCAATGAGACAAAGATGAGAAGCTCTGTTGGGATCCTTTAAAGTAACCGACTGAATGTGCTTTTTTTTACAGACCACAGATGACATCCTTGTGGCTTCAGCAGAGTGTCCCAGCGATGACGAGGACATTGACCCCTGTGAGCCGAGCTCAGGTGGGTTAGGTTAGTCGACTTTTTTTCTTACTTTCTTTGCTTACTCTAAATCTTCGTTGCATGCTATAGTTCTTAGAAAAACCTTGCATTTATATCTAAACATCCATCCTATTACACAATGCCTTGTTGAGAGATACGGGTTATTGCTTTTACATGATTCAAAACCCACCATGATTGTGTATTTCAGAAAGAGCAGTGGGGATAGCACACAAGGCTGCTACTTTACTGTTCACATTCCCTTAACTCACAACGTAATTTTTGTTGTATAACGTTATCATGGGCTTTCCTTTGGTCACCTATAGCAAAATCGTCAGCTATAAAATTGCAGTGCGTTGTGGAAAATTGTTTGACCTTTCTACTGACAAAAAGTACCCACCACTCACTCTACCAGCAAATTATCTTAAGTGAAATATTTCTGAATTTCAACAGTGAGACTATTATGGCAATGGTAAAACAAACAGCAGGCATGGTCTTTGCTGTATGTAACAGAGAGCATTGGAGTCTTGCCATGTCACCCTAAAATTCAAGCTGGTGCATTTTAACTCAAGCCGATGCATAATTTCTCCCCCTCCTCTGTGATAGGGTGTAGCTGACCAACACAAACCCTGTTTCCATCCAGCCTTGTACCCTTTCCTCTCCTTTTTATTAGCTGTGAGCCCAGAAAATTAGTCCCAGCCTGGATTTTATGTCAGATATTCATATTACCAACAACGGGGGCCTTTCCAGCGTGTCTTAAAATTCAGTCATTGTCTTGTTTAGGTTACCAAAAGGAGTGAGGCAGATCTGGGCTAACCATTATCAGCTAACTCATCATCTATGTCACCTAGAAAGAACCCCAGAAAAATGTCACATCACAATACAACAACTCAATTGCCTTGTTGTGAAGAATATCATTTTGAAGTAAATCTACTCATTCTGATATTTGAATTTTTACAAGTTGGT